GTGTGTGTGTGTGTGTGTGTTCTGCCCTCTTTTGTCCAGTTTGGATGAAAGTGATGTTTTCTCCTTCCAAGATTTTTTTTAAACCCTTCTGGTGGACGAATATCAAAGAATTTCAAGAAGAAAAAAAAACCAATTATTAAAGATATATTTTTTAAAAAGGGTATCCCATTTCTAATGAGATTAGAACTGATGAATGCCTGATCCAGTAACAAGCAAGAAACAGAACCTGCTATGATTTCAAAATATATCCTCAAATACTTTATTGATCAGAAATCAGCAGTCATTCTTGGGCAAAAATATGAAAACAGTGCTGCTAATACCTAACAGGAATCCTTGAGTTTTCCAGCTGACCTGTCTGATGTGTTTAAACTAGAATTCCGAACCTTCCCTTGATTTATGAGCCCTGGAAATTGGTAATCACTTTGATTCTAAAGAAGTCATGACGAATCACTTCCCTGCCCATGCAGGAGATATTTAAATCTTCCTCTTGCCTGAGCTCATAGACCTAAACTCTGCCCTCCAATATGCAGGCAGTCAAAGCTACTTACCTTGTAAATTTGGCTAATTAACACCTCCCTTTTACAAGATACAATCAAGCCCGCTTGTCAGGAGAGTTAGATTAAGCCCCAGGTATCTCCCAGCTAGTGGGAGGATTGGTTTCCTAATTTCTTCTTCAAGCATCCCAGCCCTGCCAGGTTCTTGCACTGATTTCCCCCCAACTCCCAGTCCCCCATAGCATGGAGAAAGAAAGCCACTGGATGTCAAGCTAAGTAAGGAATCCTGACCCCTGTCGGCAAGCGAAACTACTCCGGTTAACTAAGACTTTGTGGAAGTTGAACGCCTAATGAAATTCCATTTTTAAAGTGTGAGCCTAAGACAGATTTGAAAAGGCAAGAAACTGATTTGGTTGTTTTTAATGCAAATTCATAGTGGAAGTCCTGGCCGCTTGACTTTCACTTGGTGAATGAATCAAAGTCAAAAACTGAGAGTCTCAGAAAGAAGACAGGACTAGAAAACTACAGGCAGGTTAGAGACAGAGAGAGACAGAGAAGCAGAGAAGGAGGGAGGGATAGACATATACATAGATAGATGTGCACACACATACACACATATCGAAGACTAAAATAGGAGCCATTGCTATCCTGTTTTACAGGGAAGGAACCTGGGCTTTGATTAGGTGACCTTCCCAGAATGACACTGCTATTAAGTCTGATGAAAGATTGGAACTCAGGTCTTCCTGACTCCAGATCAGATAGTCCATGCAATGCACCCCCTAGGAGTCTAATTTCTGCATATTTTCAAAGAGCCTAAGGATGGTATGTTATCCTTGGCGTTCCTTGATACAGCTTTAGAAAAGGCAATAACAGTGGCATAGGGCAACTGAGTGACACAGGCCTAGAGTCAGGAAAACCTGAGTTCAAAGCCAGCCTCAGACTCTTACTACCTGTGTCACCCTGGGCAAATCACTTCACCCTGTCTGCCTCAGTTTCATCATCTGTAAAATGAGCTAGAGAAGGAAATGGCGAACCACTCCAGTATTTTTGCCAAGAAAACCTCAAATGGGATCATGAAGAGTCGGACACAGCTCAACAACAATAAAATTACTATTATCTTTGAGCCAGCCAGCTTAGCTAAGTGTCAGAAGGCTCATCACCACAGGGTTAATCACTAGATGAGAGCTTTTTTTTTTCTTTCTGGCCACAGAATTCATGAAAACACTCAACTTAGGAGTAGAAGGGCTGTGATCTGCATGAGCCCAGATCCTTGAATTACTGAAGCTATATGTACAGAAACACACACACACAACCTAGCTGTCACTTTCCTGTAGAAAGCAACCGTGTCAGTCAACTCAGCTGGAATATGCCTGCTGTGAATTCTTTAGAGATCATCATAAATAATAATGGAATCTGCCAACATTTAGAATGTGACCCAAGATAAGCATTGGAATTATGGCTGTATCTCACATTACCTAACATATGAACATCAGGATTGACACGAATGATGACGTTTGCTTTACAAAAGGATTTGTAATAAGATTCCTTTAGAGCAGAAACTCCCCTGATGTATCTAAGCCATGACTGCAGTTACAGAAATTCACTTCCATGCAGCCTGTAATAGCCTAGAGTACCAGAATCAGGAAGACCTAGGTCCAAGTCCCATCTCTGACAGGCAATACTGGGCAAAGGGAGGCTAGACAAGTTGTTTAATTACCCATGTTACCCATGAGCAACTCTCTGAAGACACAAATGGCACATTTGCATTGGTCAAAATAGTTTCCTCACCAATAAATCACAATAACAGTGAAACAACAGCTCTGGACCGATTTACGCATAACTTTTTTTTTAGAAAAGCATCTACCAACTAAAACAATATTCACCTTTTGGTGAATGGAGGCAGCTAGGGGGTGCAATGGATAAAGAACTCAGCCTGGAATCAAAAAAGATCTGAATTCTGATACTAGCTATGTGACCTTGGGCAAGTCACTCCATTTATCTCAGTTTCCTCACCTGTAAAATAAGAATAATAATAGCACCTGCCTCCTAGAGTTGTTGTGAGGATGTTTGCAAAGTACTTAGCAAAGTGCCTGGCACTACATAAATGTTGGCTGTTACTATTATTAATAACAATTAATAATTAGTATTCTATTATAGGTAAACTAGAAAGTGTAATCAATATGTAAAAATATATAATAAATTCTTTATTATAAAAGATGGCTACAAGAGGAAATGTAGATATTGCAAAAATTAAAGATATCATTAAAAATGTATTTTTCAGATAATAATGCCTGCCCTGGAAGTGTTTATTGTCTTTTTTCAGTGAAGTTTGAGGTCCAAGACCCTTCATCCTCGACTTTTTTGGTTGCAGGTCCATAAAGTAACCTTGTGTTAGCCATGAGATAAAGCCCCTTCGCTGTTAGCTTTTGAAACATCTAATACCCAGTAATAATTAGTTTCTACACCTTCTACTTCTGGAGTATATTATACTCCCCCTGCTGGATATCATTCAACATAACAATCGCAATTCCCCAGAGTTTAGCTTTGGGCTTGTTAGCACACATAAATCTGGCTTGGGGGCGCAGGAAGCTTGTTTCACAAGAGGATAGTTACTGAAGCTACAATTGCCGGGGTGTTTTTAAGACCGCCCGGTTAATTTCAGATCTCATAAAAACAGGAAAAATTAAGGCTGACAAATGACAAAGACTCAGACTAAAAGGGGGGAAAAATGCTGAAACCTTGAAATGCTAAACAATGCAGAAGGAAAGCCAAAAGCTGAGGACTGTGAGACATAGCTGAAAGGGATATTGCTAACACAAAGGCATGAAATCAATTTTATTTTAATAGCCCATAAGGGGGTAAGAATTATTTCCCTGCCTCCTGTGCCAACTTCAAGCTGTTTCCAAAGGAAGCTAAATAATGCTCATCAACAATGTCTGGAGAACTAACGAAAGATACTAATTATTAAAACTACGTTAATAAGAAAATGCAAAGAAAATCCATTGTATTATCACTTGTACATTGTATTATCATTTGGTCAGCACATTCTTCTGAGTGGGTCAAGGCAGAGAGACCCCAGAGTGCTGTTCTGGCCCTTCCACGAGTACCTAACCTAAAAGTTTAACTACTTTTTAATTGCAAGTTTAACTACTTTTTAATTGCTCCTGAAAGGTAAAGTTCCAGATACCCCATCCAGCTTTAAGGATTACTATTTTAAATGGAAAAGCAAATGATAACCAGGGCGCATGAATTTGTGTGCTCTACCCCGTACTGTTAATGATCAATCCTTCGTCCAAGAAGCAGGTTCACTCTAAAGTTGGCTGCAGAAATCTCAACTCAAGAAAATCATCAGTAGGGATAACAAGAGACCTTAAACACTAAACACTGGGTTAAAGAAAAAAAAAGTGCTGACCAGACTTTTGTCATTTCCTTGCAAAACACTTTGCAAACCTTAGAATGCTATATGAATGTGAGTTATTACTGCTGCGATTATCTTTACTTTCTACTTCTGCATAAATGACACTCTGAAGAAGACAGGATTCAGGCACTAACTACAACTGCCCTGGAAACCAGGTGGGGCTGTCTCATTTTACAGCAAATTTTGTGGACATCAAATACATCGGTTCCACTCTTCCTAAATGATTAGCTACATAGAGAAGACAGCTTGGCTCTAGTCAACTTGTGGACCTGGAAGTCAGCTGAGCCCTCTTCTAGCAACATATCCTAATTGTTTCCAAATTTGTGCTGATCAAATGATCAAGGGCACAGAACCGATGATACAAAGAGACAAACGTCAGAACCCAGGAGGTTAATGACAACTAATAAGGTCAGAGCAATATACTCAGAAAATACAAGCTAGAAGGACTGAGGAGCAAAGTGGGGAGACCCCAGACGAAACCAAAAGCCAGCCCGGGAGACCCGTGAAGTTGGCCAGCTCAAGCGGAAAGGACGCTGGATGCAATGTCAATTAAGCGCGAACCCACAAGCTTCTCCCACCAGCGCAGTTATGCTCCCTGGAGGCAGTGGCCAGCTCAGCCGCGGGGAGTTAGAGAGAACAGCAGAGAGGAAAAGTTAGAGCAGCATGTGGATGGAAGGAGCAAGCCTGCACCCCTAGCCCCGGGGCATCTATCCCAAAGCAAACCGCAGCCGCCACCAAGCAGCTGCGTCCCCGCTCCCCGGCTCTTATCAATGTCCAGCTACGCAGGAGAAGCCCTGAGATGTCCCTGTCATTGCAAGTTCGGAAGGACCCCGGAGTGCGTAAACACACCCGATGAGACTGAGTGTGGATCAAGCGTGGGCTCAGAGAATGGGGTCACCTCCGGGGAGATCCAGAACCGGGACTCCAAAGGTGCAGGCAGTTAAGGGGGGCAGGAGGCTAAACTCGGGACCCGCGGAGCTGCTTCGCTGGCTGGGAGAAGGAGACCGGGGTCCCGGAGAAGGGGCGCGCGCTGAGCCCCCAGAACCAATCAGCCTCGGGATAGGGAGAGGAGGCTGGGGGAGACGTACCTCGGACCCGATCTGTCAAAGCTAGACCCAGGGTCTGCAATGCTGGGGAGCCCGAGCCCGAGCCGATGGAAGCCCTCTGGCAGCCCGCTCCCAGCTCAGCGCTAAGACGCCGCTGGCCCAAGCCTGGGGACGCTCACCTCCTACAGGGAGCCGCGGGAATCGCGCAGGAAGACGGGCTCTAGATGGGCCACTGCCCCTGCGTCACTCGTCACGAGCAGAGAAGCGCCCCTCGCCAGCTGCTCCGCAGCCTCCGAGTCCCCCCATTGGGGCTGAGCCGAGCGCACACGCCCGGGCGGGGACACGCCACCTCAATCAGAGCGCGGGGTGGGGGGAAGGGCGCTCCTCCTCCGAGAGGGTACGGGGGCTCCTCCTCCGGAGGGGGACGGGGGCTCCTCCTCTCTCCTGCCTCCTCCCTCCTCCCCGCTTCTTCTCTCCTCCCCCTCTTCCTCCCGAGTTAATGGATGAGCTCCCAGGGAGCGCGCCCGCAGCCAAAGCAGAGGAAGACAGACGCAAGGAGAAAGTCAGCCCGGGCCCTGGAGTGAAGGGCAGAGACAAGGGACAGGCTTTGTTGGGGAGCAGCTTCCGAGGGAGACAAGGAGGAAAGGGCCGTTGTCGCTGTGTTTTGGTTCCCCACCCCCATCCCTCCAAACTTTGGCTACAACTTTTGCATGCTTCAGGATGCATGTTTTCCTGTCCCCCCTCCCTCGCCTGTACCATCCGATTCACCGGCCTGGGTCTCCCCCGAGGCAACCCCACGCTCTTGCCCATACCCACTCCCATAGGATATGTTTACACACGCCAGGTCCTTCCGAACTGCAGAGAACTTTGCTACAACTTTTGGGGGGTAGTACTTGTGCCCTCCGCCTTCAGGATTGAACTGGAATAAAAAAATTTTCCTGAAATCAGTAGCAATCTTTCCCACCCACCCCACACCCTGCCCTCGGCGAAGTAGGGGTCGGGGTACGGGCAAAAGAAAGGGAGCAGTGATGCTTCCCTCAACCTCCTAAGACGGACTAGGGATGGTTTCCCAACTCTTTACCTGCTAACCAAAAGACAAAACAGTGAGGCTCTGCGTACCCTACCTTGAGGTTGGCCCATCGGGCTTTTGAGGACGACGTAGAAGCGGGGAGGAGGTGGGTGGGAATCCATCAATCAGCAGGTACTTTTTTTTTTTAAGCCTCCTACTAGATGCCTGACACTGTACTGAGAAAGGGAAGGAGAGGAGAGGCACAAAGACCGAAATGGAACAATCCCTGTCCTTATGTCCCTCCTATACACACCCTGCATCTGTACAGGTGTCCATAAGGGTATAGTGAATGGAGTGTTAGATTAGGCATCTGGAAGGCACCTGAATTCAGGTGATGGACTGAGCCCTTACTACATGCCAGGCTCTGTGCCAGGCTCTGGGAGTAAAGAAACAGTACCTTCCCGTAACGAATTTCCATTAATGCAGGGACTCCAGGCCTTGGGTCCAGAGTGCAGCCTGGAGAGGATTCAAATCCTACCTCCAACGTTTACCAGTTATGTGACCACAGCCGAGTTAACCTCTAGGAGCCACAAATATATACGTGCAAAGCTTTGCAAACTTTAAGGAGACATGTCAGTTATTAGACACATATGCACATGCAACATACTTCTAATAATTCAACAAAGCATTTCTTAAGTGACCAGTAGGTAACAAGCATTGTGCCTGGCACTGAGAATACAGAGAGTAAAGTAAACAATCCCTGGCCTCAAGGAGCTGATATTCTGTTGGGAGGAGGGGAAAATAAATATGACTGTGTCAATAAAACTTGTATGTGTGTTCTTCATGTCCACATCTTAATTGGGGGGCAGGGCTTCAGGACTAGGACTTTTATGTGTTGATGGGCACAGAGAGTGTCTGTTTTGTTTTTAAAGTACTACTAGATGTTTTGGGTAAGAGCTGAACTGAAAGTATTTTTCAGTCTTCCTCCTTTGCAAACAGAGGAATTCTTCCCTGTTTCATTCCCATCCATAAATCCTAAAAAAAAAAAATGGGGTTTTTGAAAAATCCTTATTAATCATACAATGGTTTGTCACCCTCAGTATTTACAGATTATGGAGGACGTGTTTTAAGTTCCTCCTCTCCCTCCCTTCCATCTAGTAAAATAGGAAATGAGCCTTCATGCTCCCAAGCTGTCAAAAGAAGGTTTCAAGAGGAAGCAGGGGAGAGCTTTCTTTCATTTAAACATTTGTTGTGAATGGCGACTCTTCTATTTGGATTTATTAATTATATTGGAGCTTGTCAAGGAAACACTGGAGTAAAAACAAAGAGGAGGAAAGGGCAGGTTGGAGACGCCTTACTTGTGAGTGATATTTAGAGTTCAGGGTGCCATCCTGAGACAATCCCAGAAGCCTCTAGAGTCGGAAGGGACCCCAGAGGTCCAATCCCTCCCTACCCGAGGCATAAATCCTCTCTGCAACATTTCAGGTGATTAGGGATGGACCTGAGAATCTCCATTGCCAAAGAAATCCATTCAGAGCAAGACAAGGCAAGAAGCAGGTATTAAGGGTGGACTCCGTGCCAGGTAAACTTGATACCAATACATGAAAATGGAAAGACAGTCCCTGCCCTCAAGACGCTCACATTCTAATTCGAAAAGACAACACATAAAAAGAGAACTGAAGGGAGTAGGGTGGGAAGAGGTACCCTCCAGGAAGGAACCAGCCGTTATTAATGAAATGACATCCCTGTAAAGGACAAGCAATGTGGTATGGTAGTTAGAAGGAACCTCAGAAGCCCACCTCCTCTACTGAAGCATGAATCCCTTCTAATAACATCTCAAACCAATAAGTGATGAACTTGAAGACCTCCATCGACAGGGAAGTCACTACCTCTCAAGTTAGTCTATTCCCACTTTGGACAGTTATTAATAAAATTATATTCATGAGAAGGCAGGCAATAAGCATTTATTAAGGACTGGGCCAAATTCCCAAAATGAAGAGGCCCTAGAAGGAACTTACCCCTGAGAAAAAAGGGCCAGCATGGTGGAAGAATGGAACTGGGTGAGAGAGCCCCAGGAGTTGAGAGAAGTTCCAGGATGAGAAGAGTGAAGGAGAGTCAAAGCAAGCAGTAGATTGAAGGCCAACCTTGAAGTCAGGAAAACCTTCGATCAAGCCCAGGATCTGACATATGTTAGCTCTGTGGCCTTGGGAAAGTCACTTAAACATTCAATCTCCCCAGGTAATTCTCTAAGACCAGAAACTAAAGCTACCAACCTGGATTTATGAGAAGTTTTCACATCCAAAGTTTCTACCTCAACTCAATTTAGAACCACATGAAAAGCTTTTCCTGATCCCTTACAAATAAAAACATCCTTTAAAATGCAAGACTATGGAAATCATGGCAGAATATTAGGGGAAACACCTTAAATCATGTGTGATTGTGTACTCTAGTCACACTTTCACTAAGGTGTCTCGAGAAAGAGACATTGAAATGTAAATAAAAGTTGCAAAATAAACATTAGGAGGGTCTATTGCACTTGTAGGGGCCAGCAAACATTGTGAAATTTTCTCTAGGCCACACACTACATTCCAGCCTGTGTCTTAGGTGTACCCCAAAGGGAGTCTTGGAAGTGTACTTGATGGAAATAGGAATGATCAACACAAGTCTGGGTGGAGGACCTTTTTCAGTGAACTGACTTGTTGAATGGAGAGGTTAGACTTCTTCCATCCCCTACAAAAAAGGTGACAAAGCTCAGAATGGGTTGGAGTAGAGAAGCCAAAAGTCATTATACTAGCTGAAAGAGCACAATACCACCCCAGCTGAAAAATGGCTCTCCAAATAAAGGGGCTCTCCCCCTTCCTCCATCACTCTGTAAATTCTCTTCCTTTGAGGCTCATGGTGTTCCCACTTACCACCCAGCTAAAGTCCCAGTAGCTGATGTCTACAGACCCCCAGGTCATTCCCCTTACTTCCTCCCCAACTTCTGCCCTCATACTAAGGGATTTCAACATACGTATTGATTCTCTCTCAAATACACTAACCACTCAATTCCTCAACCCACTCATCTCCCATGAGCTACTCCTCCAACTCACCTCAGCCACATACAAAGATGGTCGGTCATATCCTTGATCTTGCCATCAACCACAAATATACCACCTCCACATTCAAGAATTCTGTAATCCTCTTACATCATCTATTGGCTTTTCACCTCTCCCTCCCTAAAAAAAAAAAAAACCTTACTTTTTGCCCATGACTTCCAGTTCCTTGACCCCTCAATTCCTTCCCAAGTCATCTCCCCCATACTAGCCACTCTTTCCTCTTCTCCCCCATCTTGAGCCCTTGATGAGCTAATTCAATTTTATACTCTTCCTTTCTTGAATCCTTAACCCCCTTATCATTTCACCATGTACACCCAATTAAGCCTCAGTCTTGAATCACTCTCACCATTCACTCCTACACACATGCTGTCGAACCAAGGTAGGAAAATCATGCAACCATCTTGACTATGTCCACTACAAATTTATGCTACACAGCATCAATTCTGTGCTACCTACACATGTGTCTCAATACCATTCTACTTTAAGCTTGCATCCAGTCTTCCCCTCATCGATATGATGTATATTTGTAGAAATGTGCCCCAGTTTTGGGGGGAAATGCTTTGTAACTACTGTTTTTCTTTCTATGTCATTTGTGTAAATGCCTTTACTAAAGAACTAAGTCTACTGGCTGATAGTTAAGAAGAGGCACACCAATAGGGGCTCTTGAACTAGTGTTAGAAGTATATCCATCCATAAGATTTCTCCTAGAATCTAGGAGGAAGAGTAGCCACCCTTTGGGAACCCAACCTGCCACTGTCAATACGATTGAGGGAAATGAGTCCTACCTGGTTGTTACATATATCATGATTTAGAAAAAAATCAATCCATCATTCCTGCATCATTATATCATTTTTATATTAGCCTTACATTGAACAGAGTTTAGAGAGTTTCCCCAACCCCAATTTGTACTGTTTTGTTGTGTTTTTTCCCCAAAAAGATATTATCCCATGAAATCATTCATAGGATTCCAGATATAAACACACCATCTAAGTGTAAAAAGTTTAAATTTGAGGCCTCGAAGGAAATCTCTCATAATGTTTAATGGTAAAATTAAAAGATTTCAAGGGAGGATGAGGGACCAGTTCCTTTCTTGAAATTCTTTCAATAAAGGAGTGCTTTGGAAGGTGGAGTATTTGCCATCACAAGATAAAAAACCTCTCTTTGGGTTAAGGGTTTGGTTCTTTTTTTAATTGGTCAGTACCTGCCTCTAGTTTATTTGTAGAATTTTACCAGGTCCTCCCACAC